GGCTCTTGCTGGGAAGTCGGTGCCTGGTAAACACTTGTTGAAGAGCCCCTGCCGCCCCTCCTCCTCACGAAGAAGGAACTATAGTGGGAATCCCTGTCTGTGCTCCTTGCCTTTCCTTCCCTCCCTGTCAGACATTCACATTCCATTCACGTCTCCCCAGGCTTAGAGCGAGGGAAGGAAAGGGACCAGGTGAAAAGGGCAGAATGGCTATGGAGGAAGGGAGAAAAGGCTTGTGTCCAGAAGTGTCGTGTGGGCCTCCCCAGCAGTGGGCCCTGCCCGGGACTGGGGCTTCTGGTTCCTCTCAGAACCACTGCAGGCAAGAATGAGTGGCGCAGAGCCGCCTGCTGGGCAGGGAGTGCCACCTCTGAGAGTCCTCCTGTGGGCCCTTGCTCCTCCCCAGGAATCAGACTGACACCCCGTGAAGGCTCCTGGCAGCCCTCGCCCGTCAGCTGAGAGCAGGTTATCCCGTTAGGGAAATGCTTCTTTCAGGATGATGTGTGGGGTTCAGGCAGGCAGTGCCTGTTCCAAAACAGTGCCCTCTAGGCAGTCCCAAGGCCTTCTTCCAATTTAGGATGTGGCCCAGATCCTGGGAGCTGTTTGCTTGTGATTTGTGCAGAGCGGGGATTGGCTGCCCAGTGACCTGAGATGGCCCTGCGCCGGCTTTGTGCACACTCAGCATTGGGGATGGTCTGCTCATCCGGCTGCTGTCAGCTGCAAAGCCCCCTGGGCGGTTGCTGGGGGAAAGCGTGTGCAGCCAAGGGGCCTGGGGGGCCTGGCTGTACGCTCACCCTCCCAGCCAGTGTCGGCCAGATGCTGTCTCTGCCTGCTCCCCGGCAGCCGCGTTTAGGCCAGTGGTCCTCAACCTTCCTCGTGCCGCGACCCTTTCATACAGTTCCTCATGTTGTAGTGAACCCCAACTGTAACATTATTTTCGTTGCTACTTCATCACTGTCATATTGCGTCGGCTATGAATCGGGTGACCCCTGTGAAAGGGTTGTTCAGCCCCCCAAAGGGGTCGCGACCCCCAGGTTGAGAACCGCTGGTCTAGGCTGTTCCATGAGGGGGTGTGGTGGGGAGGACCTGGGATGGGTATGAGGAGGGGTGTCCCTGCTTGTCACCGTGGCAGTCACTGCCCAGCCTTCCTCCCCCTCGATTGCTGTGTTGAGCTCATAGTGGAGGTGATCACCCACCATCTATCTGGTTGCTCGAGACAGATTCAAACATGCTGATTTCATTGGCCACTGCACCCCCACTCCCCCTGATTCTTCAAGTTTATGGGCTAGAAATATAGGTATGTTTTGACCAGCAGTGTGTTTGGGGTCCTTTCTGATGGTCCCTCTGGCACAACCGAGCCTGTGGGCCTGGTGTCACAGCTGGGGGTGGGGTCTCTGCGGTGCTGCTGCTGCTGCGGCCAGCAGGCTGCTTGGGTCTAGTGGGGATGCAGCAAAAGAGGGCTCCCCTCTCTCCAGAGAGGTATTTTCCTTCCGATGAGGGCCTGGTGCAGGAATGTCCCGGACAGCCCAGAGGCTGCTGGTTTCTAGTTTGTTGGTTGTGGCCAAGCCTCAAATTAATTCATCATGCCGCTTCCCTGGGCCCAGGTGCTGGGCTCCCCCTGCCAAGTTGTGTTGTTTGGGATCCGTCGGTTTGAGGAGCTTGTAGAAAGTCCAGGGAGATCCCACGGGTGGTGGAGGACTGCAGGAGGTCCTCTGCTCTAAGGTGCATTCTGGAAGCCCCACCTTCTTCGTCAGGAAAGGACAGCGGGAGAAGTTAGATGCGACGACCCCCCAAGGGAAAGCAGAGCAGGACACTTCGTGGAAGCAGGTCTTCTTTTTCATATCCCACGTGTCATCGGTGTGGGAACGTCATGGCTCTCCATTCAATCATTCCCGACCTCCAAAGATTCAGATCTTGGCTCTGCTGCTCACTGGCTGTGTGGCGTTGGGCAAACTGCTTAATGTCTCTGAACTTCAGCTACTTCAGGGCAAAATGATAACTACCTTCAAAAGATTATTTTTTTTAATCCATTCCTTATTTCTCCAGAGGCCGCTTCTTTGAATCCCAGGGAGCTAAATTACCCCTTTGTGTCTCATAGCCCTGTTAGCTGCCCTTGGGCCAGCCCCTGAATCTGGGAGAACCTTGCACAGCAGCACTGGGCTCTGGGCATCCTCAGACAATTCTGGATTCTCTGAAGTAGATCACCAAGCCGTTTTCCTCTGTCTGGACAGTCCACTGAAATCTGTTCCGCTTAATTAAAAGCAGACACCTGCCATCAAGTCAGTTCTGCCTCATAGCAGCCACATCGAGAGTTTCCGAGGCTGTAAACCTGGACAGAAGCAGACAGCCTCAGGTTTGTCCAGCAGAGCGGCTGATGGGTTTAAATAGCCAGCCTTATGGCTACACGTCCGACACTGGCCTGACAGCCACCACGGCAGTGCATGTAAGCCTCCACTGACAGGCAGGTGGCGACTGCTTGTGGTGCATGGCCAGACTAGAACCTGGGTCTCCCCACAGGAGGCCCAAACTCTTCCCCTGAACCTCGACTGCCCCACCTCACGCATGCATCAGTCACAGTTCTTGAGGCGTTACGGGGAGCTGGGTTAGCTGTATGCCACGGCGGGACACCCTCCCGTTGTTGCCAGTAGAGGATGCTTTAATCTGCTTTGTCTCCTGAGAGTCTAGTAGAATTCCTGGCAGACTGTGCGTTCTACACACACTGGCAACACAGACGCACACGCCCAAATGCCCACTCACCATGTGGGGCTCTGTCCCCTCAGCTTGGCATCTGCTGGAGTTGGGTGGATGAGTGCCAGTGGTTTGCTGTCCCGAGAGGGGTGGTTCTTTTTCTTACCTATCCTCCTCCCATCCAAGAGAAACCGTGGTTTCTGTGTTGTAGCTACGGGATTCCCCCAAAGCTCATGCTTGGGCAGCGGTCTCTCACCGAGGTCTCTGTGGCTTATCTGCCATATGTTTAAGGGCCACTATCAGAAACGCACAAGGAGAAGGAAAGAGTTAAGCGGTTTCCTTAACCTTCCTGTCTGTATGATGGGCGTGTGGGGCCAGGAGGCTAATGCTGGTTGGACTTGGTGCCCTTAGAGCCTGCGGGTAGAGGGCGTGGCCTAGGGTCTGCCTGCCTGGCTCCCATCCTCCTCCTCACTGCCTGTAGTTCACACACATTGCGTAATACTTGCCATCTGGGGCTGTGGCATGTGAGTGCCGAGCCGAGCAGAGGTATTGGAAATGACCCTAGCCCGCTTGCTAAGACTAGAAGAGTGGGTGTGTGCCCCATGGACCACTGGCCGGAGCCCATCCATCTGTGCCTGGCTTGTAAAGGAGCAGCCGCAGGTCCTGGTGTGCAGGGCAGCTCCTTGGGTAGCTTTGGGAGCAGCTGTTTGGCAGTGGGAGGTCACTGTTGCTTGTCACATGGGGCCATGAGAGTAGGGGGAATGAGAGTTGCCCCCTCTGTAAGAGCAGACACATCCTGTCCCTCGGAGCCAGGGAGTGGAGGCTGCCCTGGATGCTGACAGTGTTCACTCTTGCAGTGCCTCTCCCCACCCCACCCGCTGCCCAGTCCCCATCCTGCAGCATCAGAACTCTGCTTCTCTTTCTGCCTGCCTGCAGGTTCGAGCATGAATGGCCTGGAGGAGCCCAGTGTTGCCAAGAGGCTGAGGGGCACCCCTGAGAGGATTGAGCTGGAGAATTACCGCCTGTCTGTGCAGCGGGCAGAGGAGTTGGAGGAGGTGCCTGAGGAGACGCAGGCCGAGCACAACCTCAGCAGCGTGCTGGACAAGGGCACAGAGGAGGACGTGGCCAGCAGGTCAGCCTGTGCCCCCGAGGCTTGCCCTGTTCGTTCCCCCTCCCCCCACCCCCTCTACCCCCACCTTCGTGTGCCTGGGGCTTGCCCTGACACCTTTCCCCTGAGGCTGTGACTTAATTAGAGTCTCAAGTGGATTCCATTACCTGGATTGGTAGGGGGGGCGGGGCGGTGTGGGCAACCTAGCAACTTGAAAACCTGCCCGGAATCTGAGCCAGACTGCCTGCCACTCACCATCTGCGTGGCTACAGGCAGGTTCTGTGATCGCTCTCTGCCTCTGATGCCTCATCTGTGTAATGGGGCAACTGAGGGCCTTGCCCACACGGTGCCTTGGCACGTGTAAGCACGTAGGGGTGGTAGCCAGTGTTGGTATAATCTGGTGTGGTGCTGGACTGTTGGTAAAAGATGCCTGTGTCCATTGCCCTTCACCCTGCCAGGGGTCCTGGAAAGTAGACAGCACGTATTTCGCCACATTCCAAGTGAGTCCGTCTGGAATTCAGGTAGAGGCTAGGTGGAAGCCCAGGCGTTCCGGGTCTAAGGCCCGGACTTCTCCCGGGTTGCTCTTCCTGCTGGCCTGAGATCCCTTCTTCCTGGTTCTGTGCAAGACCTTATCTCTCCATCTTGTTAGTAAGGGCCCTGGTCCGTTTGATTTACTCCTTGCCATTTCAATCATCAAATGATTGAATACATACCTAGCATTTCTAAAAGCACTTAGTAACTCCTGAAAGAGTCCGAAACAGGGTCAGCTTACCAGCAGGGTGCTGTGCTGGAGCAGGCAGGGACAGTCCAAGGAGAAAAGCCGCAGGCTCGGAATAGGAGGCTTCTGTCAGGAACCCCAGTAGCATAGGTCAGCAGTTCAAAGCCACCAGCTGCTCCGTGGGAGAAAGATGAGACTTTCTACTCCTCTAAAGAGTTAGTCTTCGAAACCCCCCACCAGGGGCAGTTCTACCCTGTCCTGTAGGCTCGCCATGAGCAGGCATCAACTCACTGGCAATGAGTTTGATTTTTCTGGGTTTGTTAGGACTCAGCCCCAGCTCACTGTGCAGTCTTGGCAAAGGGACCTCAGCCCTCTGGGCTTCTTGCTGCCTCCTCTGTGCAGAGGCTCGGTGGTCCCACGTGCAGCATGGAGTGGGTTTAACTGAGTCATCCCGTGGAGGGCATACGCCCTCTGACCCCACAGGTTTCCCTGCTGGCTTGTGCCCCGGGACCTGTTCTTCATCTCCACCCAGAGAAGGCTTCTACCAAGGGCTCATAGACTATCTTCAAAACCCTGAAAGAGCAGAAGAAGCTAGGAAGGGCGACATCAGGACTGGCCAGACCTTCACTGGCCAAGACCCCTGAGTGGTGGTGCCGTGGGTCTGCAGCCAGCATCAGAATCTCAAACTGGGCGCTTATATTTGCTGTGGTGAAGGGAACCTTTGAAGACAGAGTGCAAAGCTGTGTGTGTGTGTGTGT